GTGCAAACTACACTAAACTAGGATATAAAAGTACAAGTACAAAATGTGAGATTGGGGCCTAACACCAACACCCCCCCTGAGGCGTCAATCGAACTCATGGCGGAGAAGGAGGAGCGCAGAGCCCCATGGCGCCAAGGAGACGATGGTGGGGAACCTTCCCAAGGGGCTTGGTGAACAGGTCAGCCAGGTTGCAGTCAGATGCCACGTATTCCACCTTCAGCTGCTCTTGTTGCACAAGGTGACGAATGAAGAAGTGCCGAAGTTCAATATGCTTGGTGCGGGTGTGATACACAGGGTCTTGAGAGATGTGGATGGTACTCTGGTTGTCACACCAGAGGGTGGGGGCTGACTGAGGGAAGCCAAGCTCTTGGAGTAGGAAGGTGAACCAACGGGCCTCCTGAGCAGCCATGGTGCCTGCGTAGAGCTCCGCCTCACAGGAGGAGAGGGAGACTGCAGACGACCTGGTGGAGCGCCAACTGACAGTTCCGCTCCCGAGGGTGAAGCAGTACCCCTGAGAGGAGCGCCGGTCGGTCTGGTCATCAGCCCAGGAGGAGTCTGTGTAACCTTCCAGGCGAGGAGGGGAGAGCCCACCGAGTGTGAGAACGTGGGACTTTGTGCCCTTAAGATAGCGCAGCACCCGCTTTGCTGCCTTCCAATGAAGATTAGTGAAGCGACCCGGGGCCACGTAACGAGAGAGAACACTGACTGGGTAGGCCAAGTCCGGTAGGGTGCACATCATGGCGTACATGAGGGACCCAACAAGTTCCGGGTATGGCTCAGAGCAGGCCTCTGGTGTGGGTACAGCAGGAGCTGTAAGGAGGTGTTGCAGCGGCAGCGGGGTGGCAACAGGTGTGCACAGCTCCATCTCAAACCGCTTGAGCACATTGTCGATGTAGAACTCCTGGGAGAGTGAGATGGTGCGAGCCTTGCGATCACGAGTGATCTCCATTCCCAGGTAGTGCTTGAGGTCACCAAGGTCTTTCATCTGGAGGGCCTTGCTCAGGGCTGCCTGGACAGAGGTCATTTGGGCCGAGTCCTTGGCAACGAGGATAAAATCATCCACGTAGACTAGGATGTAGAATGGCTCAGAATGACGACGGATGAAGAGAGTCGGGTCAGCAGTTGAGGGGTGGAAGTCCAGGGAGAGGAGGACTTCTTTCACCTTGTTGTGCCATTCGCGAGGGGCTTGTTTAAGGCCGTAGACGGGGCGATTCAGCTTCCAGACTGTGTTGGGAGGGAATTCTCCTGGGAAGCCTTCTGGTCTGTCCATGAACACTGTCTCCTTGAGACGTCCTTGTAGGAAAGCGGAGGAGGCATCCATGGATTTGATCTCAAAGTCTTCTCGAGCTGCAACATCCATGAGCGTTCGAATGGTGGGAGGTTTGGATGTGGGGGAGAAGATTAGGTCGAAGTCGCGGTACCGCTGCTGGGTGAAGCCCTTGGCTACGTAACGCGCTTTGAACACCGGTGCCTCGTCTGGGAGCTGTTTTACACGGAACAACCACTTGCCCCCGACGATGTTGACTCCTGGAGGTGGAGTCTCGTCATCGAAAGAGTGGTTGCGAGTGAATGCTGCAATCTCCGCGTCCATGGCAGCACGCCATTCGGCAGCATGAGGGCCTGAGAGAGCCTCTTGGACGGTGAGAGGGATAGGGATGGTCGGGTTCTCCGCGAGGTTGAGGGAGGGTGAGCCAGTGATATCGGGGAAGATGTGTGAGAGCTGAGGAATGACTGCATGGAGATCACACAGCTCCTCATGCCTGTCTTCTAGAAGGGTAGAGGGCACATCCCCCCCAGCAGGAGGAGGCGGTGTGATCATTGTGTATCGAAGAACCATTGCGAGTGGAAGAGCAGCGCGATGGGAGCGGGTGCCATGAGCCACCGGTGAGGAGGGCGGGGCAGGCGGTGTCGGAGAGGGTGACTTAGGAGGCTTGGGTGGGGGAATGGGCCGCCGGCGGTACGTGATCAGCTCGGGCGACTGTGGGAGAGCGGGTTCCTCTGTGGTGGGGGGAACTGGGGGAGGAGGTGGGGCCGGAGGGTGGGACCGCCGATGGTAGGTGATAGGTGCGCTCGGAGGGGGCGGCGCAGCGGGAAGTGAGGAAGGTGAGGGGGGGGGCGGAGCAGCCGCCGAAGACACCGGTGAGGCCGGGTCAGAGACCTCAGAGGGAGATGGTGGGATGGCAGGAGAGGGAGGAGGTGAGGGGGCAGGAGCAGGCGGGAGGTCGGGAGGCGCGTCAAAGTCTGCCCACACGAGGGAGGGTGGATCAGGGAGAGGGTCCCGTCCCGAAGGGGAGTAGAATGGGCGGGTCTCATCAAAGACAACGTCGCGGCTCCTGACCAACTGTTGAGTGGAGGGATTGAGGAAGAGGTAGTCAGGTGAGTCGGCGTTGTGCCCAAGGTAGATGCACGTTTGAGTCTTGGGACCGAGCTTGCCACCGTTCTGGCGTCGAGCCTGAGGGTTGAGGAGGACATAGGCGGTGCATCCCCAAACGCGAAGAGAGCGAGCAGTGGGCGTTTTCCCGAGCCAGAGTGTGGTTGGAGTGGTGTCGGGAAGGTGCGGATGGGGGTAAAGGTTGTAGAGGAGGGCGGCGTGGTAGAGAGCGTATCCCCAGAGAGAGTGTGGAGCGTTGGAGTGGCTGAGGAGGCACCGAGTGATCTGCACTAGAGTGTGGTTGCGGCTCTCAGCTATGCCGTTCTGTTGAGGGCTGTCAGGGAGGGTGAAGTTTTGCTGGATGCCTTCGGAGGAGCAGAAGGCTTTAAGCTTGTCGTTGCAAAATTCACCCCCCCCATCCGAGTGAAGGCGCTTGACCTTGAGGTCAAAGGTGGTCTGTGCCTGCTTGACCCACGCCATGATGACCTCTGGAGCCTCAGCCTTAGTGTGGAGGAGGTGAACAGAGACGTATCGTGAGTGGTCATCCACGATAACTAGGAAGTAGCGATATCCACCTCGTGCAAGAACAGGGGCAGGGCCCCAGACGTCCATGTGCACTAGGTCCAGTGGTGCCGCTGCGATTGTGGGTGAGGCAGTGTGGGGCTGTTGGCGCAGTTTGCTCTTGGTGCAATCAAGGCACGTGGGAGCGGGTGAGTCAGGTGGTGGAGGAAGTGTGGCTGGCAGGCCGAGAAGAAGTTTCTTGGAGGCCATGTCAGCAAGCGTGCGGAAGTTTGGGTGCCCTAACCGATGATGATAGAGGATGGTCGGGTTGGAGAGGCTGCGACATGTGCATGGTGTGATGGGAGCCTGTGCTTGGGTGGTTGAAACCTGTGGGAGAGGAACGCGTAGCGTGTAGAGGCCGCTGCTATTGAGGGTGAAGCGGGCCAAGACCTTGTTGGTGAGTGGGTCAATGATGTCGCAGTGGTCCTCATTCTCCGAGAAGATGGTGCGTAGCCCTGCTTTCTGAATTTCTGTTTGAGCCACTAGATTGTGGCGTAGTGAAGGCACGCACATGCCAGTGACGGTGCCGGAAGGGAAGGCTGGGCATGGGACTGTGGAGGTGCCCTTGGCTAGGGTGGTGAAGCTGGAGTCAGCTCCCAAGAGAGGGATAGGTGCTGGATAGGGTTTGAAGGAGAGTGTCTCCTTGAGCACAGTGTGAGTGGCCCCACTGTCGAGTGTGAACTCTATGTACTGTGGTGCCTGTGATGAGTCGATGTACTGGGAAGTGGCTTCATTAATCATGGCAGTGCCAGGAAACAACAGGTTGATACGCACATCAACAGGAGCACTGTCACTAGCACTAGCCGAAGAGGGGTCCTGGACCTCAACGAGATTGGCCTTACGAGCGCGCATCCAGTTTGGCGGCTTCTTGTCAACCCCGTGGATGGCATACCACTCGTCGTCTTTCTTCTTGAAGCACGTGGCAAGGGGGTGGTTAGTGCCACCACACACTTGTCCCTTGCGGTTGCCATACTTGACGACGTAGGTGCACGGAGGAAAGCGGTTGCGCTGGAAAGGCGCCGAGGCAAGGGCTGCTGCAACACTTGCTAGGGGCATGGGAGCACGGATGGCGTATGCCTTGGCCTGAGCAGTGGAGTCTTTCTCGGCAGAGAGGAGTGCGGTGGAGACCTTAGCAAAGGTGAGGTCTTCCGCTGAGAGCGTGAGGAGCATCTTCCTCGTCACTTCATATGCCGAGGAGAGACCAACAAGAAGGGCGGCTGCAGGGGCTTGTTCGGGGAAGACTATACCCAGCTCCTTGAGTTCACCATGAATGGTCTGCACCTTGGCGATGTAATCAGCCATTCCTGAGCAGTCCTCAAGGCGGACTTGAAACATGCTGGGGATGAGAATCGCCACTCCGACCGCCGTCTTGTTCATGAACCGATCCTGGAGATACTTCCAGATGGCGTTGGAGGTAGGGTAGTTGTGGAACGTGTTGACAAGTTCGGGAGGGGTGGAGGCAATGAAGACGCTGATGATGGCAGCATCGGCCTTCTCCCACTTCCGGTACTTCTCAACAGCTTCTTCGTACGTCATCACGTCAGCATCACTTGAAGATTCGGTCGGTTCACGGGGAAGAGTGGGCTGTTTCCCCTTGCCACGGTTGAGGAGGACGTCCTTGAGGTCAAGGCCCTGCACGTCACGGCTCAGGAGGTGCTTGTCAACTCCGTAGCTCCACGCCTTGAAGTTGGAGCTAGAGCCATCGGCTTCAAGGCGGAGCGGGGTGATGGGGTTCGCCATGGTGGAAGACGAGAAAGCCATGGTGGAGACCCCTTAACTTCTCGCGCGGAGCGCCGCTCTTAAGTCACCAATAGGAACTTGAGGTTTGGGGTTTCCAAAGGAGATTTTGAAGAACCGGAGGTTTAGGGTTTACGAAGGAGAATTTGACTGAGACGCCAATTTAGTGTCAACTACCTACTAGTCCTATTCCCACACACCCCCCCACACACCACCCTCAGCTTCGCGGCTACGCTGCTGCTCGGCTGCGTTGCTGCACCTGTTCAGCTGCGGGAAAGAGGGGGGATGGGGGTAGGAGTGCAGATGCGGGGCGACGGGCGGCAGCCCGAAGATGACGCTGCGGGGCGACGGGCGGCGGCCCGACGAGAAGCTGCAGGGCGACGGGCGGCAGCCCGTCGAGGAGAAGAAGTGACGAATTGATGAAAACGAGTGTTAGGTTAGAGCGCCGACGATGCGCTTACCAGAGAAGTTTCCGTCGATGGTGACGGGAAGATTTGGCGGGAGAAATTCCGCCGATGAATGTCGCGAATCAACGGCGACGAGATTGGCGATGGCTTCCACGAGGTTTGCGGGACAAGTATCCGCAGAGATGAGAGGATCACGATCCGCGTATGCGGTTGAGCTGCTCTGATACCATGTCAGAACTTGAGCTTAGAATCGATACTATAGTAGTGAGCTCAAAGCTCTTTAAGTACATCCGGAATGAGCAAGGTAGGGATGAGGAGGGAATCAGGAGGCAATCCTAGGGAATCAAGGGTAATCCCAAGGCAATCTCCAATTGGTGGGTTGGAGATTGCTTGGAGATTACATTTGGGTTTGGTTGGGATGTGGGTGTACACCCAACCAAACACAAAGTGCAAACTACACTAAACTAGGATATAAAAGTACAAGTACAAAATGTGAGATTGGGGCCTAACACCAACAGAGGGGCCAGGGGCCTGGACAGCTAATCCACTGCTCGACATTGCGCGTCACGTTCGGTATGTCCTGTCATGCATCGATTCAAATGTGGCACTTTGGCAGCATACTGTAGTAGTAAATTTATCACGAGGTCGGGCCTCTACATTAGCTAAATCTGTTTCCTTCCCTTATGCCCTTTCCGTACACAGCTGTCTTGCACATGTCATGAACATTGCAGTGCAGGAGGCATTGAAGTTGGACGATGTGAAGGAGGCGTTGAAACGCCTACGGGATGCGTGTTCGTACATTGGATGGTCGGTCCAGCGGTCAGAGGCTTTTGCCAGTCTGCAGCGCAAGTTGGCAGGCAGAGACAAAGCGAAGGTGCTACGTCTGATCTCCGACTCGCCTACACGTTGGGGCTCCACTTACGAGATGATCTGCCGCGCCTTGGAGCTGCAGCAGGCACTGACGGTGTTTTTCAGCCGGACTGACGTGAGTGATAGGCTCCGGTAGTGTGTATATGTTGGGTGATGGTGAGTATACGGGGCTGGTGTGGCGCACCAAGGGTTGTGACTATATTGAATGGTGAGTTTGGGTAGCTGGTCGGGGGCTAGAGGAGTTGTGACTGTATCGAATAGTGAGTGTGGGAGAATGGTGTGGCGCCCAAGGGTCGTGAGTATGGGCAGGATTTGAAAGGGGGTTGAGTTGTCAAACTTCATCACCATCGTATACTAAGTTTGTGAACCCTCTGTACCACCCTTGTTGTTGTCCTATACCAGCCCCCCCCCCCCCCCCCTAGGCTACGCGAGAAGCTCGACAAAATACGTCTCAGTGACGTCCACTGGGACGCGCTTGTCGAGCTGAAGAACTTTCTTCAGCCCTTCCACTCGATCACCAAGGTAGCTGAGGCTTCCTTGTACCCGACAGCTGCAGCGGTGGTGCCGCTGTACAACCAACTGCTGGACAAGATGGAAATCACCTACCGCGAGCCAGCCGTCTCACCCCTCACACAGGCCCTCATCACCAAAGCCCTCGGCAAGCTGAAGAAGTACCCGTACGGCACCAAGGAAGAGTTGGCGATCGCCACCTTCCTTGACCCCCGCTACAAGACCATCTTCTTCCAGATGCCCCAGTGGGAGGCGCTCAATGCTGCGCAAGTGACAGAGGTGGGGGGATGTGCTAGGAGTGTGCAGGGCGTGGATGAGCCGACGGTGATGCGCCTGGTGCGCGATCGTTTGGTCGCATATCAGGAGAGAGTGCGCAGTCGGGGAGGTGGTGGTGAGGTTACGAGTGGCATGGGGGAGGTCCCTGACGGCGCTGGTGCTAGTGTTCAGGCCGCAGGGACGTCGCGTGCCGCTGGCAGCGGGGGGTTAGCTTCGAAAATGGGCTTTTTGCACAGATGGATGCATTTGAGGCAGCAAGGGGGGGGGCGGAGAAGTGACGAGGTGGACATATACTTGGCTGAGGGTAGACAGAAGGGTTGCCCGCTAGCGTACTGGCGTGTTAGGAAGGATTTAGAGGGTTTGAGGGAAATGGCTCGGGACTATCTGGCAGTGCCAGCCACATCTGCAGCGAGCGAGCGCGCTTTTAGCCAGGGCAGGAACGTAGTGACATGGCAGCGTCACCGCTTGAGCGCCCCTCGTGTTAGCGCCCTCATGGCTATCAAGTCATGGATGGCGCAGAACACGAGCGGCAGGTCATTGAACGTGGCAGGGGCTGCGCGTTCGCTTGTGGAGTTGTGCTATGAGGCCGAGGACGATGGGTTTTGAGTAATGTTTGCTGCGGGAGTGGTCGCTATAGGCCTTAGGCCATTTGCCATAACCCTTTTGGAGATACAGTAGATTTTATTTATTTCCATGCTTGATTGAATTCACTTCACAAACAGGGTTGTTGGTCTATTGACATACGCCATAGACATTTGTTTTAAGCGAAAAAACTTCTGCATTTCATGTTTGGATGCCCTGGAATTCATGCACCTTGGGCTAATGTAAGGTACGTATAAACTTAAGAATATAGTTGTAACATGTAGTTTACAATGTAGCAATTCAGACCTAACCCCCATACCCTGCTGCTATGTAGCATATTTTGATCCGACCCGACCCGACCCGTGGTGTAACCGACCCGGTAACGGGTCACAAATACCCGTTCCCACGGGGCGGGTCGGGTCACCAAAACACAGTCAAACCCGACCCGCTACCCCGACCCGACCCGACCCGTTAAGCTAACGGGTCGCCCTCAACGGGACGGGTCGGGCCGGGTCGGGTCAAATGCCCATGCTTGGCATGGGATGAGGGGGGGGGAGAAAGTTCCACACTTTCAAGGCAAACTTGGCCCCAACATCAAATTTTCCCCCAAATCTCAAGATTAAAGTGAGTCACGTATTGTCACACACATGTCCCAAGGTCACATACACAGTTTATCTTATCACTGAAGAACACGCAAACTATTAAACTACCACCACAGCACTCCATGCAGGCAACCAGTCATCTCATCCCATTAAATATGGTGTTTGGGCTTTTGCGGTTTCTTCTCCACCCCATCACTAGTGAAACGCTGCGGGGGAGACTCATCCTCGGCATGAACATCCCTAGATGCGTTAGATGACGTAGGGTTGCTTGATGAAGCCATAATGGAGCTAAGCTATGCTTGTAGGCTAAAACCTCTAGGGTTTTCGAAAGAGAATTGGTTGGGTGGGTGAAATGAGAAATGACTTGGTTGGATTGCTAAATGGGCTTGGTGGTAGGCACCTTGGTTGGGTTTTCTAGATGTGAAGTGGTTGAGAGGTATTTGGAATTCAATTGTTGCATGGGGGGTTATGAAATGTTGGGGGGGGGCTGTTTTTCAATGTCGAATTGGGCAATGGGGGGTCAAAATTTCGCGATTTCGACAGTCGCGTCGAAATCGCGAGATTGAAATTCATAATCTGGAAAAAAAAAAAAAAAAAAAAAAAAAAAACGGGGCAGCCCAAGAAATTTTCGATCTGCGTCCTGCGTCTGGACGCGCGTCTTGCGTCCTAGCGTCCAGACGCTGCGTCCAGACGCAGGACGCAGCGTCCTCTGAGCGTCTTTCGCATCATAGGCCCACACGCCATGGCAGCACGCCCACTCGCCATGCCATGGCAGCACGCCCACATGCCATGGCAGCACGCCCACACACCATGGTAGCACGCCCACACGCCATGGCAGCACACCCACTCGCCATGGCAGCACGCCCACTCGCCATGGCAGCACGCCCACTCGCCATGGCAGCACGCCCAATCGCCATGGCAGCACGCCCAATCGCCATGGCAGCACGCCCACTCGCCATGGCAGCACGCCCACACGCCATAGCAGCACGCCCACACGCCATGGCAGCACGCCCACACGCCATGGCAGTACGCCCACACACCATGGCAGCACGTTCACACGCCATGGCAGCATGCCCACTCGCCATGGCAGCACGCCCACTCGCCATGGCAGCACGCCCACTCGCCATGACAGCACGCCCACTCGCCACGGCAGCACGCCCACACGCCATGGCAGCACGCCCACTCGCCATGGCAGCACGCCCACTCGCCATAGCAGCACGCCCACACGCCATGGCAGCACGCCCACACGCCATGGCAGCATGCCCACTCGCCATGGCAGCAGCACATCAAATTCGAACTCAACAAACATTTGAGAGGGCCACACAGGAAATGAGAGGGCCACACAGGCAGTGAAAGGGCACACAGGCAGTGAGAGGGGCACACAGGCAGTGAGAGGGGCACACAGGCCGTGAGAGGGGCACACAGGCCGTGAGAGGGGCACACAGGCCGTGAGAGGGGCACCCACGCAGAGACTCTTCACCTGCACCACTCACCTCGGGCAGTCGGCTGGTTGGCAGAGGGAGCGGCGAGCCAGCAGCGTTGGCGGCGAGGCGGGTTTGAACGAGGCGGGATCGCAGGAGGGCGAGGGCGCGGGGGGCGAGCGGATGGTACTTGAGGTTGCGCGAGGGGCCGACCGCCATGGCTGTGATGGAACCAAACCCGCCCTCAAACTCGTTCCTGCCGCCCGCACATGGCATGGAGGGAGGGATGGGCAGCAGGGTGGATGGATGCGCAAGGCAACGGAGACAGCGGTGCGACATAAGTGATTTGATGTACGCGCAAGGGATGACAGTCAAGCCATGCGACTCACTTGAGAGCATCGATCCACGCGACTCACTCACTTGAGAGCATCGATCCACGCGACTCACTTGAGAGCATCGATCCACGCGACTCACTTGAGAGCATCGATCCACGCGACTCACTCACTTGAGAGCATCGATCCACGCGACTCACTTGAGAGCATCGATCCACGCGACTCACTCACTTGAGAGCATCGATCCACGCGACTCACTTGAGAGCATCGATCCACGCGACTCACTTGAGAGCATCGATCCACGCGACTCACTCACTTGAGAGCATCGATCCACGCGACTCCCTCACTTGAGAGCATCGATCCACGCGACTCACTTGAGAGCATCGATCCACGCGACTCACTTGAGAGCATCGATCCACGCGACTCACTTGAGAGCATCGATCCACGGGACTCACTCACTTGAGAGCATCGATCCACGCGACTCACTTGAGAGCATCGATCCACGCGACTCACTCACTTGAGAGCATCGATCCACGCGACTCAGTCACTTGAGAGCACCGATCCAGGCGACTCACTCACTTGAGAGCATCGATCCACGCGACTCACTTGAGAGCATCGATCCACGCGACTCACTCACTTGAGAGCATCGATCCACGCGACTCACTCACTTGAGAGCATCGATCCACGCGACGCACTTGAGAGCATCGATCCACGCGACTCACTTGAGAGCATCGATCCACGCGACTCACTTGAGAGCATCGATCCACGCAACTCACTTGAGAGCATCGATCCACGCGACTCACTCACTTGAGAGCATCGATCCACGCGACTCACTCACTTGAGAGCATCGATCCACGCGACTCACTTGAGAGCATCGATCCACGCGACTCACTTGAGAGCATCGATCCACGCGACTCACTTGAGAGCATCGATCCACGCGACTCACTTGAGAGCATCGATCCACGCGACTCACTTGAGAGCATCGATCCACGCGACTCACTTGAGAGCATCGATCCACGCGACTCACTTGAGAGCATCGATCCACGCGACTCACTTGAGAGCATCGATCCACGCGACTCACTCACTTGAGAGCATCGATCCACGCGACTCCCTCACTTGAGAGCATCGATCCACGCGACTCACTTGAGAGCATCGATCCACGCGACTCACTTGAGAGCATCGATCCACGCGACTCACTTAAGAGCATCGATCCACGCGACTCACTCACTTGAGAGCATCGATCCACGCGACTCACTTGAGAGCATCGATCCACGCGACTCACTTGAGAGCATCGATCCACGCGACTCACTCACTTGAGAGCATCGATCCACGCGACTCCCTCACTTGAGAGCATCGATCCACGCGACTCACTTGAGAGCATCGATCCACGCGACTCACTTGAGAGCATCGATCCACGCGACTCACTTGAGAGCATCGATCCACGGGACTCACTCACTTGAGAGCATCGATCCACGCGACTCACTTGAGAGCATCGATCCACGCGACTCACTCACTTGAGAGCATCGATCCACGCGACTCAGTCACTTGAGAGCACCGATCCAGGCGACTCACTCACTTGAGAGCATCGATCCACGCGACTCACTTGAGAGCATCGATCCACGCGACTCACTCACTTGAGAGCATCGATCCACGCGACTCACTCACTTGAGAGCATCGATCCACGCGACGCACTTGAGAGCATCGATCCACGCGACTCACTTGAGAGCATCGATCCACGCGACTCACTTGAGAGCATCGATCCACGCGACTCACTTGAGAGCATCGATCCACGCGACTCACTCACTTGAGAGCATCGATCCACGCGACTCACTCACTTGAGAGCATCGATCCACGCGACTCACTTGAGAGCATCGATCCACGCGACTCACTTGAGAGCATCGATCCACGCGACTCACTTGAGAGCATCGATCCACGCGACTCACTTGAGAGCATCGATCCACGCGACTCACTTGAGAGCATCGATCCACGCGACTCACTTGAGAGCATCGATCCACGCGACTCACTTGAGAGCATCGATCCACGCGACTCACTTGAGAGCATCGATCCACGCGACTCACTCACTTGAGAGCATCGATCCACGCGACTCCCTCACTTGAGAGCATCGATCCACGCGACTCACTTGAGAGCATCGATCCACGCGACTCACTTGAGAGCATCGATCCACGCGACTCACTTAAGAGCATCGATCCACGCGACTCACTCACTTGAGAGCATCGATCCACGCGACTCACTTGAGAGCATCGATCCACGCGACTCACTTGAGAGCATCGATCCACGCGACTCACTTGAGAGCATCGATCCACCCGACTCACTTGAGAGCATCGATCCACGCGACTCACTTGAGAGCATCGATCCACGCGACTCACTTGAGAGCATCGATCCACGCGACTCACTTGAGAGCATCGATCCACGCGACTCACTCACTTGAGAGCATCGATCCACGCGACTCACTTGAGAGCATCGATCCACGCGACTGACTCACTTGAGAGCATCGATCCACGCGACTCACTTGAGAGCATCGATCCACGCAACTCACTTGAGAGCATCGATCCACGCGACTCACTCACTTGAGAGCATCGATCCATGCGACTCACTTGAGGGCATCGATCCACGCGACTCACTTGAGAGCATCGATCCACGCGACTCAC